CATTAGGTGTAATAACTTGTACTTTTAACAAAATATTTTCAACGGTTAATTTTGCCTTTGTGGTACCAACAGCAGTAGTTGCATTTTTTTCTTTTATAATTATGCAATCAGAGTCACTTCGAGCTCTTACAAGACGTATAGTCTGTTTACCAAATTGAGCTAGCTGATAATCATTAAATATACCAAATAAATGATGTAATGGTAAACGAATATTAAAAGTTGAAGTTTGAGCAGCTGTATTTACTAAGGGTGGTGAGGGATAATTCCACCCTGCAATGCCTAAATGGTTTGAATCATCGCTACTGTAATTAAGATAGCCCTTAATTGTGCTCACAATACCAGGATCGCGAATACCATCAACTTCTTTTCCATTTAATTCATAAGAAACTCTATCGAACAGAAAAGTAGAAAAGTTATTTACAAGGGTGGCATTTCCGTCCCCTTTAGTTATCTCTAATTTACCCTGTATTAAAAGGGCTGCATCATGCATAAGAAGCCAGGAATCCCTTTGATTTATTGAAATTTCTTTAACATCATTGTTATTAAAAGATTTAACATAGGGGTAATAAGTTCTGTAGTCAACCTTTTGAATTGTTTCACTAAACTGTGGTTTTCGATAGATGTCGAAGATTTGGTCTGACATGATAGCCTAGTGATTGTAGAAAGAGTCGATTTGAATTACTAAGGTTGTTTGAACTAGGCAAGCGTTTGCTGTCAACTGATTTCAAATTGTTTGTGCTAGAATTTTTATAATAATTATTGAATGTTAACCCCATTATGATAATCTTTTTAATTCCAAACGAATAATTACTTCCTCTCCACGAAAATTAACTGGCTTAAAATCTTGATTTAAAATTACCAAAGTAATATTAAATATTTCTTGTTTATTTATTATTGGTAAATATATAAGGTTTCGGGGAATTTCGTTGATTGTATAGCCCGGATCAACGTCGAAAATTCGTGAATGGTATGCGTTGGTAGGTAATTATAATATGCACCTGTGGATATATTACAATCAATGTGAATGGTTCGAACCTTTATTATATTAACAGGTAGATCTGTATTATTATTTGGTTTAAGTGAAAAATATTTATCATAATAAATATATTTAATAAAATGTATTTTCACCTTCTTCAATATTAGGGATGCTGTTATAGGAATAAAACCCTATTAAAGCTATACCGTGGTCAAAATCTAGATTAAGTTGTATTGGATTTGTAAAATCTATACTTAAAACATAATTATTACTTTTTAATGTAAATAGCTGGGACATTATCTTTAAACAACGGTTAATAATAGACTAATCATATTTTCTTATCTCATTTATTTTTATAAAGAAACCACAAACATAAATGGCCACAATTAATTTGTTTAAAGTTTTGAAAACAATCATTATTATAATTAATTTTAACATTTTTTCCTAAATAATTTACTAATTCTTTTGGTGGTTTAAGACCACCAAAACTATCAAAATAAATAACAGAATTGTTTCTTTTAGTATAAGCTACCGAATGTGTACCCAAATTTTTCGAAATGTCTTAATTTAGGATTGCAGATTCATTTTTATTTTTTATTTTTGGTAAAGCGTCTCGCATAAAAACCCCTCTAAAATAGGGTATTTTAAGCTTTTGTGCATATTTTACCAATTCAGAATCATATAGAGCTCTATTGGGTAGCTTTATTGGTAGTTTTTTTGTTTTAAAAAAAGACCATATCCTCCCTTGACATTCCTTTTTAAATATAATCCCGAGCCTTTTTTCCCAATTTCCTCCATAGCCCTATTATGTCGACCTAATTCTTCAAGTTTCTTTTTAGCATTTTTTGTGTCTATCACCGTTTTGGCTACAGCGCTTGCGCCTCCAGCCAATGATCCTATGGCCCCTAAGGCTGCGAATAGTGGTAAAAGAGGTAAAAACCCACCTTGTTTGTCGGATTCAAATGGAATTATCCTAGGCACCTTAATATTTTTACGACCCCCGGCTTTCTTTATAATCACCCGAGCTGCTTTAAGTGCCGTTGCAGTAGATTTTTTAAGCGAATTTTTATTGGACATATCTAAATCTTGAACATGTTTTTTAATTTTATCAACCAAACCACGTTTAAATGAGATTGGTTTTCGACTTTTTCGAACGCCCATTCCAAGTTTTCTTTTAACCTTCATTCCAGTTGTTACTAACCAAGCTGCTGCTTTCTCCCCCAATTTAGAGTCCTTTGATTTCACCCTTTGCCAAGCTTTATTTTCCAAAATCCAATCCGCCTTATGCCTTTCCGCCAAACTTTTATTTTCTGAATAAGCAATATCGTGATCTTTACATGCAGCGTCTAAGGGGTTTATAACAGTATCACCCCTTTGAATTCTCTTATCTAATTTAGTACCTGGCGCGCAAAATTGATAAGAAGGCACGTAAAGCTCAAAGGGTAGGTTGTTAATTGCAGAATTTAATAAACCGCCACCTTTAAAAGTCAACATTGAAATGATTTTTTTAAATAAAGTTAACCTTTTATAATTATTAATAAAAGTATGTTGAAAGGGATGTTAATATATTTTTTAATTGATTTAAAATTGTTTCATTCGGACAATTTATTCCAAATAAACTCCAATCAAAAACTCCTGCTCTTATTAATTTACCAGAAAATTCGTTATATTCATAAAATAATTTTTTTTTTTTAAATAAATGTTACCATTTGTATAGCGAAATGCTGAAGATATATCTGGAGGGATTTCTGGGAAAAACTGGTTTATAGTTCCCCGATTGACTGCATTTAAACTACATTCATCAATTTCAGTAACCCAATAATCATCATGAATAATATAAGTTCTACCTCTGTTTGAGTTAAAAATGGCATTTATGTTGCTACTTCTAGCAATATTAAATTTGTCTATTGTTTGATTAAATGTTTCACATGCAAGACTAGGAAAAGAAAACGTACTAACACGTTTTAAATTATCTATTATTACCACACTACCACTAGGTTTTTGGTATATATGTAAAAAATCATTATATTTTATATAATCACTAATTTTTTTAGGCTTTTTAAAATTTATGCCGGAGGGCTCTCCTATATTTAAAATCCACGCTAAACCATTGTGAAAAACATATAGATGATTATTATTGGTTACTAACATTTTTTGTGGATGCTCGATTTGACATAAATCAGTTAAATTTGATGTGGGTGTAGGTTTTTGCGTAGAATCTGTTATTTTGGGTCTGCTTATTGTTTTTGTTGTTGGTTTACCTGTGAGTTTCCTTGTTGTTGGAATTGTTTTTGTTGTTGATATTTTTGGAGTAGTTTTTGGGGTTGTTGATGTTACTATTTTTAGAGTAGTTTTTGGGGTTGTTGATGTTACTATTTTTGGAGTAGTTTTTGGGGGTAATCCATATAAATTTTGTATATTTTTTTTATCTTCATCGGATAGGGTTGTTATATTTGGTGAAAAATATGGGTACATTAGTGCATTAATATCTGATTAATGACTCAACCCCAAAGTATGTCCAATTTCATGAAGCAATGTGGTATATAGACTTGTTTTATCATTATCTTCAGGTATATCGAAACCAAAATACCAATTTTCATCTGAATCTAAATGAATTTCCGTACAGGAATTAATATGACTTGGGTGGTATGCGTGACCAGCTACAGTACCCTCTCCATCAAATGGTGATATACAATAACCCTTCATGCATCGAACTGAATTACTATGGTTATTTTTCCCAAATGAAATTAGAATGTCAGGATTTCTAAACGAAAAAATAAACTTTAGATTTACAAATTTTTCCCACTCATTGAAAGCTCTAGTAGCAGCTTTTTTTATCTCTCTATTATATGCATACCAATATATATTATGTTTATTCCATTTAGGTGGGTTTTGCGTCAATTCATAAATATTTTCATCTGGTATAGAGCAACGACGTGTTTTTATAAATTCTAAAAGGTCTTTCGTTATTTCACCACTTATGTTTAAATTATATCTCTCCTGAAATAATATTAAAGCTTCTTCATAATTAGTCAATGAAAACTCTGAACTATTAAGGTAGCCAAATGTTTCGAGATGTTTTATTACAACATCTTTATCAGTTAAATTATTTGATTTTACCAAAAAACTTAGCAGAAATATTAATAACGATTTAAACCCCATTATCAATACTGCAAACAATATTAAGACTGATCACCGAAAAAGATCTCTGGACAATAAATAGACTTGTCGGGACAAGTTGGGGTGACGTCAGCCAAAATGGTACCAAAAATAAAATTTACAACAAAATAATAAATCCTTATCTCCAAATAACTGATACCACACCGCATTAAAACCCCCGAAACTTGCCGAACAACAAGTCGGGACAAGTCGGGATCCAGCAATTCAAAATGGCGTCAAAAATAAAATTTACAACAAAATAATAATAAATCCTTATCTTCCCGGATATCAAACCACTGTTAAGTCACGCCCATCGTCAGCAAATGCATATCGCTTATCTTTTGCATCTCCAGTAATACCAAACTAATACGCTAACCACAAACAACCAATATGCATATCGCTTATCTTTTGCATCTCCAGTAATGCCAACTAAACACACATCCCCCGCCCACAACCAACCACAACACTAAAGGGAACGCCCATCCACCAATAGCTAATATCTATCAAACATGGCCGCCATCCGCCAGCCGCCATCCGCCAACAGCCCACCAATAGGCTCACTTACGCTTATCAGTTGAGGGCGTTGCCCAAATGGCTGCCCACCAATAGCTAATATGATCACCCCCCACCACCCCACCAGGGGGGCGCCACCATCGAGAACTGCCTACTCATTGGCAACACAGCGTCACACGTCGGTGGCTAATCGCCGGCCGCTAGGTGGTGGCAGTGAGCGTATTTTAATACCCGAGAAAATGTAGATGGTCACTCAGAAAACCATACCGAGGACGAAGGAACCGAGCCATCCTGGGAAGACGAGGTAGAAGAAGAAGAAGGGTCCTGGGCCCCTCCTAATCTTTTACCAGAGATGGAGGAAGAAAATATGGAAATAGACTTTCGCCCCATTACGAAGGAACAAGAACCGTCGATTCCTGCTCCAAAATCTACTATTCTACAACTAGGTAGAGAATGTCAAAGGCTGGGCACAACCTCCTTTAACAAAATCAGATATTCAGAGGTTCATAAAAAACTACATGCATCCCCAATATTTAGCGCATTAAAAGTTAATCCTCAACTGCCACCAAAGCCCTACTCAAATCAGTATCAAGACCAACTTACAAAGATAGACTCTTGCTTGGGTACTATCCTTCACGGAATGCTACTCCAAAGGGAGGCGTTCTCTAATGCAATAAGTGAAATAATTAAAAAACATCCAGGCGCAAAACCGGATATCCTCACCAATCTGGTAAAAGAGGGAGATTTCAGGCAATTCTCGGATGATCTCATACAATATGTATGTGGACGTCGCGCAGAGATAATTGACCAAAGGAAAAAAATTATTCCGAAAAATGAATATGTGGCCTCATTACTGGAGAACATTCCCCCGTCAGAAACGTCTCTATTTGATGAAAAACCTTTTGCCGAATTCTACCAACAACATGGGCGGTTTTTTCGTTCCTTTAACGAACCTTCAACTTCTAAAATACACAAAACGGAAACGACCAATAGAACAAATTATAACGCTAGAAGACCACAATTTAGAGCTAAAACGTCAACGACGAGAGAGCCCTGGAAAACCTCCAACGGAAGTCATAAAAAACTCAGCAGTTCTTCAGAAGTCCACAAATCTTACAAAAAAGGGATTCGGCCAAACAAATGACCGTCCACTATCAAAGGCGTTTCGGGGCGGACGCTTGTCCGAATACCTGCTGGAAAGAAATTGGTGCCCCAGGTTACATCATAAACATAATAAAAGGATACAAACTACCCTTTGTAAAAAAGCCACCGCTAATACGTCTATCGACAAACCACATACCCTTTTTTCAAACATCTGGAATGAGAGACGAAATAATCAGAATGCTGGAACAAAAGATATTGGAACCCTCCACCGTTCCATCAGGGTTCTTATCAAAATTGTTCCCCAGACAAAAGACAAACGGAAAACTGAGACCAATTTTCAACCTAAAAGGTCTAAACCAATACCTGTCTCCAAAGAAATTTCGTCTTATCAGTCATCTAAAAGTACCCGACTCCCTACAAAAAGAAGATTTTATGGCGAAGATCGATATTCACCAAGCATATTTCCATATCCCTGTAAGTCTCCAACACAGAAGATTCCTCTCTATGGCTTTCGAACACAAATTTTATCAGATGACATGCATGCCGTTCGGCCTGTCTACGGCACCCATAACATTCGCCAAAGTAACAAACTGGTTAGCAAACAGGCTACGAGATACGGGTATACGGATAATTGTTTACCTCGACGATTTTCTCCTAGCAAACCAAAACCCCCAAATCCTTCTCAAACACACTCGGATAGCGAAAACGATGCTTACCAAGTTAGGATGGGTTCTAAACAAAGAAAAATCGTCAACCCTTCCCCGAACGAAAGTCGAATTTTTGGGGTTAATATGGAATACGAACCACTGCAGCATATCCCTTCCCTTGGAAAAGAAAACATCTATTAATCAGGAAATCTTCAAAATAATAAAAACTCTCCACTGAAGTTGGGCCAGCGCAAAAAGATTGCTAGAAAAACTCAATTTCGCTGCCATGGCAATTCCCCTGGGAAGACTTCGAAGCAGAAACCTACAACGAGCGAGTTTACTTCTTCCGGAATTAAAGCCCAAAAAATGTTTCCAATATCGGAGGCCGCGCTCAAGGAATGTCACTGGTGGATAACCCATTTAAACACGATGGCCCCTTTGTTTCACAAGAACCCATCAAATTTTATGACAACGGATGCGTCAGACAAAGGGTGGGGGGCACAAATAGGAAACATGCACCTCAAAAGAACTTGGAAACGCCATAAAAAATGCTGGCACATCAACCGGAAGGAATTGTTTGCGGTTTACCAAACAATTTGTCTACAAAGGAACTGGTTAAAGGGAAAAGCAGTACTACTTCAGTCGGACAACCGAACGGTAATTTCATACATTCGAAACCAGGGGGGCACGAGCTCTCTTCCCCTGTTAGATCTAACGAACCGACTGCTGACTCTAACGAACCAACTGGGGATATCACTAATTGCACACTATATTCCCAGCAACTACAATTCGGTTGCAGACAACCTGTCTCGCCAAAAAAGTGCTCCCGACTGGCATTTGTCCAAAATGGCGACGAAAAAAATATTCAAAGCGTGGGGCACTCCACAAATAGACCTTTTTGCTTCGAAGTTATCAAAGGTGGTACCAATGTATGTAACCAGGGATATGAAAGACACAGCGGCACTATTCATAAATGCATTCAGTCGAAGATGGTCATTCCGGTTGGCATGGATATTCCCTCCTCCTTGCCTGATTCCACAGGTCCTAAACCACCTAAATCAAGCCAAAGGGACATAAATCCTGATTGCTCCGAAATGGGAACGGGTGTTTTGGCGAGCAGATCTAATGTCTTGAGCAACGGCCCCTCCGATTCCCATTCAAAACTTACATCAACATCTAATGGATGCAACAACCAAACGTCCACTTCCAAAGGCACAACTGTTAAATTTGGAGGCTTGGAGAATACAGGGTGGTCCGGTTTAGTACAAAATTGGAATCGGGAAGATATTAACTTACTACAAAACTCCTGGAGAACTTCTACTCTAAAAACTTATTCGGCGCCCTGGAAGGAGTGGTTATCTTGGACATCCGAGATGAATATTTCTCCTAATAACCCATCGCCTGAACAGATAGCTAAATACCTTGCCTTTTTATACAGAAAAAAACATTTAGCACCTTATACTATAAAATTACACAAATCAGTGATTAAAACCTTTTCAAACCCTCTGGAAAGTGAAACAACCGCAAAAAACCCCTTAATAAAACATCTAATTAAGGCGATCGAAATTTCAAAGCCCCAACCAAAAAAGAAGGTGATATGGAACATAAGTACTCTAATAGAATGGATGAAGAATAAAAATATTGATAAGAACAGCATATTTCAAGTTTCCAGGCGAGTAGCATTGATTCTCCTCTTAGCCTCGGGACGTAGGATTCACGACCTTACTCTACTTAGCGTCGACGTAAACTCCATGGAGAGTGATAACAACTCTATCACCTTTTGGCCAGAATATGGGTCAAAAACAGATGGGAAGGGACACCGCCAATCCGGCTGGAAACTATTCAAAGCTTCAGATACAAACCTGGACCCTGTTTCCTAGATAAATCGACTAATTTTAATGTCCCAGGACAGAAGGAAAACTGTGCCAAATCTAAACAACTTATTCGTTACCTCCAGGGGAAAAATAATACCCGCTTCTAGGGGTATTATAGCAGGATGGATTAAATCTGCTTTCAAGGATGCTGAAATCCCATTCTCTCCAGGAAGTATTCGATCAGCAGTAGCATCGGCCAGGTGGAATAATAATATTCTTCTGGACACCATTCTAAAAAATGGAAATTGGCAGGGTAGCCAAAACATCTTCAAACATTACTATAAAAAAAATAGATAAAACTGATTCTCTATCTACACAATCAAAAATAATTAACAACATTTTTGAGGCTACATTTTAATTTACATATTAAGTTAATAAAGTATTGTCATAGGATATATATCTGTATATATTATGACGCTATTATTAGTTTTAAGTTTTCTTATTTTTTGAATGTTAAGTACCTACGCAGTACAGTTTCGTTTTCTATTCGTTGTTCATCAATAAAGATATCTAAAGATATACTTAAATATATACATTATACACCTGGCTCTGTCTAATCATCCCTTCGTCAATCAAAAATTAACTTCTGGATTCTAATTTCACAGTACGCATTCCACGTCGTCAGAAACCAAACACTTCTCATTAGGGGGTCAAGCCGACGGCACTGAGCCGAAATAAAACTCGTTTTTCCCCAGAATGGAAAAAAACGATTATTTCGGGTCATGCCTAAGGCTTGACCCCCCCATTGAGTCCTTGACGACAATATTCCTAATGATAAGGTACTAAAATACGCTCACTGCCACCACCTAGCGGCCGGCGATTAGCCACCGACGTGTGACGCTGTGTTGCCAATGTGAGCGACAAAGACGAGGAATGACTATAATTCTTAAGGAATTAAATGTTTGCACACACGAAAAAACGTAGTGTAATCTCATTAGGGGGTCAAGCCTTAGGCATGACCCGAAATAATCGTTTTTTTTCCATTCTGGAGAAAAACGAGTTTTATTAATAGAATAATATAATTCTAATTTTATGTTTTTTTAAAACGGAAAAAATAAGTAATTAACAACAAACAAAATATAATTACATTTTTATTTCTTTTTTAATGTATTCTGGGTTTTTTTATTATTATCAAAATAAACTATGAAAATTCGTATCATTGTAACAATTATTGTTCTATTTGTTCTGGAAAAAATAAAGGATAAGAGAGTGGGAAATGTAAAATAATAAAACCAGCGTGCTAGCGAAATATTTTTATTTTTGAAGTTTTTGTCTAGCTAAAAAATAGTAATTACCTAAGTATTTTATTCATATATAGTTTATAGTTGTTACAATACTGCAGTTATATTATTTTATCAAAATATTGAAATTTTGATATATATAAATAAATATATTATTAATTTTGTAAGTATTATTTAAAATTTATTTTTTTAAAATTAATTTTCCTTAATTGTTGTCATGTTGAATAATAAATTTTTAAGTATTAAAATTTAATTAATTATAACTTTTTAGATATACTTTTGAGATAATTATAAAAATTATTTGTCTTTAAAAAAGGATTAACCTACTAAAGTGGTAAGTAATTTTTAAAAATAATATTTAATAAATTAACATTTTTAAAATTTTTAGCTATGTCGGAACAATTAAAAAGCCTAAATTCTTTTGGTAATTTGGATTTTGCAGAGACTGTGCCTATTTCATATTTACAGCAGAATATTCCCATACCAATTCATAAATTTTTTGCATTCGAAACACAATACGGCAGAAGGTTGTTAGTGCAATTAGATGGTGATCAATATGAGGGAAAATACGTATATTTACCTGAAAGATTTAAATATTTATCTGATAGCGATGTGGCAAGCTTTAACAAGCAACATTTTAAACTCGTATACAAAGGTAAGAAGAAACTAGATACTGGACGTGAAGCAAATATTATCGAGTTCATGCAGTAATTAAGACAATGTCTAAACGTATAAAATTAGATTTTATTTTAATAAGCGAAGTAGCTTTTAAGTGTAGATTACTAACCATATCAATTAGAAATACTATAGGTTTTTTAGATCCATCCTTATTTTAAGAAGTATGTATTATTTTTCCAGAAATTATTCAAAAAGTTAATCATTTTCCATGCAAAATTAATACAACTTTTGTTGGTAAATTTTTAATACCCAAAGGGGACGATGATAATGATAATTTGGAAAGTGAAATTAAATATATAAATACAAAAAATGAGTTATATTTTGAAACTAGCAATCCGAATGATTGGTTTAATACTAATGTGTATGAAAATATCCTAACAAAATTATCTGAATTTTCGGAGAGAAACAGTGGGTGGAGTTTAAAGGAAATTATTTCATTAGAAATTAAAATAAATAAGTGTATGGGTTTTTTTAGCGGGGGAAGTTATGTTGAATTACCCAAGGAAATTCGGAATAAAAAAGCTTGTGTTAATATTAAAAATAGAGATAATTTTTGCTTAGGATGGGCTTTGGGTTGTCATTTTTAAAATGTAAGAATTA